AAGAGAACAGACTGTGAGGGGCTTGGAGCCAAATCCTGTCTTTGAAAAGGTTAGTCTCTGTAAAAGCAACAAGCTTGCCACAGGAATAGAGTCATTTCAGGCTAGGAGCCACAGTCCTCAGGTATATTTCCTGATGGCCGTAGAGAGCACATTGAGAGTAAAAGTAAGTGAGACTCTTAGTTTCTTACGGAAGAGGGGGTTGGGGAGGGAAGATAGTTGCGTATTGGCTTTTCTTCATTGTTCCACAGACCGGCAAGCAGCCAGGGACCATGACTGTCTTGTTTGCCTTTATATGCCCAGTGCCTGGCACAGCTCCTGGTGGTTATCAAGTATTTGTTGACAAAAGGAACAAATGAATAAATAAATGAAGTTAATAATGAGTCTCCTTTAAGTTTTGTCGGTATTCATCCTATTCATCCTAGAACGGAAGCTCCTGGAAACAAGGGATTGAGTCTCTGACTACTGTTTGCACTTGGCTCCTGGGAGCAACAAATAACTTTCACACCAACTTGAAAAATTATACCAGCTTTGACAAAAGAAAGCTTCTTGATGTCAGTGGTGTTTCCCACAGATGAAGAAGTTCAAGTTTGACTTCCCTCTCCCGCCTCCCTAAGTCCTGTCCAAGCCACATGCAGGAAAGGACCATCTGTACACAGGGTTGGATTGCGTCCCTTACTCCCTCGTGTGCTAGTTATTAAGCAGTTTTCCCTCAGCCCAAACCCCCCAGCCAGCCAGGGCTCCCTCCTCTTGGGTCTGGAACTGACACCAGGCTCAGAGACCCCAGCAGCAGCCTCATTGCACCCCTTCCTCACAGGTCCGAGTCTCAGCTCCTCTGACCTCTCTTCTGTATTTCCAAATTTTAATAATTCCATTTTCTTCTCTTGGTCCTCTCTGCTCTAGGGCTGGTCATTATGTCCTGCCATAGCCACTTCCATGACACCTTGGACTTCTCTTTCACTCTTTCAGCTACCAGCTTTGTAATTAGAGAACACCTTTTTATATTAAATTCTCTCTGACTGAGACATTCAACTGTAAGTGTTCAAATGTTGTACCAGTTGGCCCACTTTTTTCTGTCACATCCCTTCCAGCACCCAGGAAAACCCTGTCTTGCCTACATAATCCCTCCAGAATCAAGGCTTGAAACAAACCTTTTCTTCTCCACAGCAGATCTTCCTCCCCGTCCACCTTCCAAACTCTCCTTTCCTTGCCTGGCTCCTGTCTTTCTAAGCTCAGCCCTGCCCACTTCTCGCCTCCTCTCTCTTTCCTCTTTCAGTTCCTATAGTTATTTTATAGTCATATGGCATTTGCACGACTGCAAGTCTGCAGTAAAGTGCACATTTCCTTAGTTACATATTTACTTGTTACCTCTTTCCAGAAACAATTTAGAAGTAGGTTGGCATTTACATGTACACCCTTGGGTGCTTTGATTTCTTGGGGTTCTTGCCTGTACTTTCCTGGTGTTTGGCCTATGCTACTTTTATTGCTTTTGGTCTCAAAACATACCTCGAGTTTTCCCAGCCTGACTGGAAGTGAGTCCAAGGTGGAATCTGCATCTTGTTCTATTAGTCCCTGGTCCCGCCCAGCCCTATGTCTGCTCACTGAAAGGGCTCAGTGAATGTCTGTGATGGTTGATAAGGTGTTCTATCTCATTGGATCTAAGACACTATCAATTGTAAGATGTACTGTGATTTTTTTGCGTGCTATAGAAGTAACAAGTGTGTCCTGTTAAACTGTCACTTGATTGTGAGCTGCATTCCAATTTCAGAAATATGAAAACGTGAAAAACCAATGTGCCTTGTAGAATCGATAAAGTACAGTATCACGCTGGGAAGCTCTTGGAGAGCATTATTTTCCATTGAGCCTGTTCTTCAGGGCTTAGGTTCTTCTCACTACACAGGAAGGATGCTCAAGGTTGTGTGGACTGGACTGGCAAGTTTAAAAACCAGGATAGGGGAATGGGTGGGCAATGGATTCATAGGCAAGACAGGAAAAAGAAGACTTGAATGTGGCCATGGTGGCTGCGGGTGGAAAGCGCTCATCTCAGGATAGAGAAGTATGTCTTCCTGTGAAGGACACTTGTCAGAGAGGCTCACAGAGCAGCCAGGCAGTTAAGGGCTGCTTCAGTGCTAAGCGGCAACCAGCCCATCGACTGCTCACCCTCCTCGCCCCCACCCCACCTCACTCTCTCCTCCCATTTATTTGCTCTGCACCTCACTTTGAGACCACAGACTGTTACCTTTTGCCTTTTCCGGAGGGTCCAGTTCTTCCAGAGCAAAAGCTGGATTTGTCTCGCGAAGCCCATGATGGCGACCACAGAAGACCCATAAATCACTCGGAGCCCTTCCTCTATGGCTGAGGTTCACGGGCAGCAATGGACATAAATGCCCCAGAGCACCTCCTGCTCAGTCTGCTTTGTCCTTCTCTGGGTGATTAAAGGTTCATTTTCCCCTTCAAAGCATAATCCCTTTTAATTACACATAAGCCCTTCGTTGAGGAAAGCAGGCGTACACGTTGCTGGCTCCTTTTTAGGCAGTGAAAGAGAAACCTAAAGACAAGTGACTGGGCACTAAGCAAATTGAGGAGGCATTTAATAGGAACCCAAGATCCTTAGCCTCCTGCCTCCATCAAAGAGGTTCCTGGGGTTCCTGAAAGGGAAGCCTTTGGGAATCTGTGACCTTGGAAATTTGGGTCAAAATCTCTTTGCATAATCACAGGCTGGGCTTTGCTCTCCTCAGTAGCCTGCCTTGAGCCAGTGTCCAGGTTTGACTGTACCTGTAAGCCCTATCAACCCACTTGCCAGGTCTGAGGTGATTGCTCCCTTTTTTTTAGCCGTTTAATTTGGTCTGTAGTGACCTTAGACCAGCTATTTAGGGGAATCACTAAGCTTAGTGGATGGTAAATGTTTTTATTTATTTATTTTAATTATTATTTTTTAATCTCTTGTGCTAAAATTCATCTACAAGTCATGGCTGTCTGGAGCTGTGCTGGAAAAGTCACTGAAACCCTCCAGGCCCAGCGGGACAGAGCCCACGATTGACCAGCCATGTCTGATGCTGGCCGGGCTTGAGGAGAGGGAGTGGGTGTTGCTAGATGGATGCATCCTCTGGAGATGGATCTATGATCCGAGGGACACCCCAAGCAAAAGACTCCCTGTTATTTCACCACTGGGAACTTTTAGTCTCTACCTCCTCAAATCAGAAGTTGCATCCCTTTGAAAAACTATAGACCCTTGAGACCTACGTAGTGTGGAGGGAGAGCCACAGAGTAGGAATAGATGCTGACTTCACAGGGTTTGTGATCTGGTTGTAAACATGGAGCATGAACTTGGATAAATTAAGGTGTATGTGAGGGAAGCCGTGAGGGAATATGGTCTATCCAAGAGAAGGAGAATGATTTCTACTTAGGATACCAAAAAGGCTTCTTGCAGGTGGTGGCATTAAAAATAAGCTTTGATGAATTACAAAATTATACTGTATGGCTTACAAATTGCTTTTGCATATGTTATCTCATTTTACTTTCACTATAATTTTGTGAGGTAGATATTCACTCTATTTTATATATGAGGATGGGTCACACACGACAATGCTGGGTTCCAGTCATATAAACCCTATACAAAGAGAAGGAGGCAGGAATAGCTTATCTTGCCCAGAGAAAGCACAAGTGAAGTGTGGCTGGAATGAAGGATGTGGATGGAGGAGTGCTGAGAGAAGAGGCTAGAAGGAGAAATAGAGACCAGACTCAAGAACAGATGATTACTATTGCCTCGACTGAGATTTCCAGAGCATCTGCAAAGAGATCTCTGAGTGGCCCACAGGTGCAGAGCACCCTCAAACAGAGGCAAACTCTGCGTAGAATCATTCAGATCTTGTTGCATGCTAGAGTGCAAGAGACTATGGCATATTTTGATCCTAATGGCTGCCAAGAGTATTAAGTTTGCATTGGTAACAGTGTGGGTGCGTAGGGAAGCAGAGAGCCTGGGCAGAGGCAGACATAGGAGAGGAATTGGAATGATAGAAGGAGGGAAATACAGTGGCTTATTGGAAGTGGATGATGAAGAAAAGGAAGAAGATAAAGAATGATTGGAGTTTAGGACGTGGTTGCCTGGGTAGTGAGATGGAGGTGCCAGAGAAGGGAGTAGGAGAAAGCAGGAGAGAGGACAGGCTTACATTTGATATATTGGCTTTGAGGTCCCTATTATGACATCTGAGTGGAGATATTCAGTAGGCAGTTCTGGGATGGAGACACAGATTTGGGATGATCAGCATATAGATAAAGGAAGTGATTAAGCAGAATCCCCCAGAGATGATAAACTTCAGAGATGAGAGTTTGTGGGGTCACTGTGGGAGAGCTACAGCTGATAAAGGAATATGCCTCATTCCAAATTCCCAAAGGGAAAAAAGTTGTAGTCAGCAGATATCAGCTATATAAATTGTGTTCTGTTATAGTTTTTAAATAATCCATTTTTCATTGAGTTACAAAAGAAAAACTTAAAATAGGAGCACTTCGCTATAATTTAATCGATGACACTCCAATAGCATTATTCCCATTGAACTGATGTTCCTGCCTGAACAAATGTTTGTTGATGTTGACATTTTTTTACTGTCATAAAATATACATAACATAAAATTTACCACTTTAACCACTTTTAAGTGTGTAGTTCAGTAGTGTTCAGTATATTCCCACTGTTGTCCAACCATCACCACTATTCATCCCCAGAAATTTTTCATCTTGCAAAACTGAAACTGTACACCCATTAAACAATAGCTCTCCATTCACTACTGTCCCCTCTGCTCCTGGCAAATACCATTCTATTTTCTGTCTGTACAAAATTTAACTACACTATCTACCCACATAAATCAAATATATTTGTCCTTTTGTGTCTGGCTTATTTAATTTAGCATAATCTTGTCTATGGCCATGCTACCCTCAACAAGCCCGATCCCGTCTAATCTCGGAAGCTAAGCAGGGTCAGGCCTGGTTAGTACTGGGATGGGAGACCATGTAGGAAAACCAGGTGCTGTAGGCGTAAAAAATAAAAAAAATAAGGGATTGTAAGCTGACAAGGTCCTTGCAATCTGTGAGGTCAACCAAGGGTTGCCTTGCCTAAAAAAAAAAAAAATTAGCATAATCTTCAAGTTTCATCCATGTCATAGCATGTGTCAGATTTTTTTCCTTTTTAAATCCAAATAACATTTTATTGTATGTAAATACCACGTTTTATTGACCCATTCATTGATCTATAGTCATTTGGGTTGTTTCCACCTTTTCGCTGTTGTCAATAATGCAGCTATAAAAATGGGTACATGAATATCTGTTCAAATCTCTGCTTTCAATTTTTGGGGTTATGTATCCAAAAGTGGAATGCTGGATCAAATGGTAATTCTATATTTAATTTTTTTAGGAACTACCGTACTGTTTTTTATAACCAGCTATACCATTTTACATTTCCATCTACAGTGTATGAAGTTTCTAATTTCTCCACATCCTCACCAATATTCGTTATTTTCTATTTTTGTTTTGTTTTGTTTTACTTTACAATAGGCATCTTAATGGGTGTAAGATGGTATCTCATTGTGATTTGGATTTGCATTTCCCTAATGATTGGTGATGTTAAGGATAATTACTCTTTAAATATTATAGCTCTATTCAGGTGTGCATTTTTTCCTGCCTAGATAATTACAGTTGTTTAAAAAGTATGTCAGAATAAAAGCCTGTGTTCTCAGTTATCTCAAATATTTCTGAGAATATGCCTAGTTAGTCAAGAATGGTACTGATAACTGCATATTTCATTTTCACAGTTATCACCAGTAACTCTAATTGATTGGGGTAAATCTGGAATTGATGTAAATGTAGAGAGTGCAGTGTTTTCAGACTAGAACACTACACATGGATTGAGAATTGTGAAGTTAAGTGATGCACCATATCAACCTATATTTATCATCAGAAGTACAAAGAAGTCAAGACAAATGGCGAACTTTTTCAGATTTCGTCATTCTTATTTCTGAAGTTTGAAATGCAGTGTTATCAAGGAAGTGACTTTTTATTTCTTGTACCAGTTATTCTACTGACAAAAATTTAGTAATGAAAAAAAATTTATAATTAAAAAAAATTCTATTTGAAAAAAGCTCTGGAAAATGTATAAGTTAAATGAACTAGAAAAACTAATTTTGGAGTGGAGATAAACTTGATAATGAAACTAATACCAATAGATAGCCATCAGTTCACTTGAAACAAGCTGAGGAAAATAGAACATCCTCCAAACACATCACTGAACATTTATACTTCTTTGGAAACAGCGATTATAGGTGATGTAGGAAGCATTATAAATCTATATTATAAGCAGAAAGATAGGTTTGAGACATCATAACCGTAAGATAAAGAAAAATATTTTGATTTCTAAAGTTGGGTTTATTCCTACCAAATTCAAAACTGAATCATTGGGCAATTAAAACCTGAAACTCTTTCAATTATGAGTAACAAATTACTTCCTCAGCTCATTCAATAATATTTGATAAGGTAATGCTGCAATAAATAAATAATCATCAGTTTATAAAAATTATTCAGAAAAAAAACCGAGGCTAGGTGGAAGCTGCTGGCAGGTCATCTACCTGGCTCACAAAAATTTGTTCTCTGTGGGTGACCCCAAAGCCAAGGGAAGGTCTACAGTAGACTTGTGGATGCTGTAGGTCCCTGTACCCTGGCCATAGCTCATTGGTCATGTGTGGTTATGTGATCTCAGGTAGGCCATTCAGAGTCTAGTCACAGAATTTTTGACTGTGGACCTGAGAAAAGCATGAGTTGGTCTTTACAAAAGTTCAGAAGCTATGAGAAATTAGAGGTCATGCTCGGTCACAAGGTTCAGTTTGTACTCCGTGCAAAGCTGTCCAGGTGAAGAGTGGAATTTGGGCTGAAATCTCACTTGCTTTTGCTGACCAAGCCTTGGGCCCTGATATAATAGGGCTGCATCCAAGAAAAAGAAGTGGCTTTTTCTTTTCAGAAAGGTGCCTTCTGCTCACCAAACTATGCAACTGGGAGGCTGCCTCTACCCAAAGGGGTGCCTTTTCTAATTTGCACAAAAGTGCCATATGGGCTAGCTGAGGCCTTGAGGCTGTGTATCTTACCACAAGGAGGAGATATCTGATCTGCAGTAAGAGGGAGTGAAGGGAATGCGCAGAGAGGCCGAGGCAGACAGCATTCGTCTCAGCTGCAGCTGCGTCGCTGTTGCCAGCTGTCCTTGGGACACAGCTGCTCCCTTGATTTTCTTTCAGGCAATTTAGCTCTAAAACACCCCAATCCTTCCAG